TCCCCCCACATAGCCACCTTAACTGTAACATTCAATCAAACACCCCATCAGATGCCCGTAACACTAGGCTAACCTAACTCCTAATGCTAATTACACTCCTTTTGCCACATACTTACTTTACAAAACCGGGAAAGTATTAAATGAATAACCTCTCTATAGTGAAATGGGACATCTTCCACTCTCGTGCAGTAACATTTAGCAGAAAGCTATTCCTGTGCCAGATCTTGAAATTTGGAAGGTTACACTTCAGCTATGCAGAAGACTAGACATTCTAGGAACTCTAACATATTGGCAGATTTACTTATGGTACTGTTATGTAGAGGAAAGGTAACTACTTTGCTGTAGAAGATGAGGGAATAAGTCTGATAATAGAATTTCCTATTAAAAAATGGGAGTGGTTGTGTTTAATGAAGGGCAGATAGGAGGCAGAGTTTGGGCAAATTAGTTGCAGGGTATAAATGTACCATATGTTGACCATTATATCAATACCATTCCTCCAGTCTTGCCAGTATTGCTCATGTATGTTGTACACAAATGTAAGCTGTTGTGCTCTTGATGCCACAGATGTCTTCTATTCCTACTCTAAGACAGGGGTAGGCACCCTTGGCACTACAGCTGTGGTGAAACTACAAATCCCATGAGGCACTGCACAATTCCACAGGCAGCCACAGGCATGACTCATGATGGTATTTGTAGTTTTACCATAGCTAGATCGCCGAGGTGGCCTACCCCTGCTTCAAGATAAATTTATGAATACTGATCATCTTTCTTTAGGCTCCATTGATACTGCACTACAAAATGTTGCTGGCTTCTGTCACTTGTAGTAACCAGTAGACAGGGAAAAACAACCATCTTTCAGAGGATGCCTTAGCAGCTGCCTATTGGGAATGTGCTGGGACTGCAGTTAGCAACTTTATTCATACAGAAGAGCAGCTCAGCGCTGTAGTGTGAACAGCACCAATAACAGTATTGTGTAGAAATGTGGATGCAGTTAGCCCACATTCAGACTTGAGTATTGTAATCTTTAGTGGTTCTTTTTGTTTGCTCATGAGTTTTCTGTGCATTTTCAGGCATGAGCATTTTTGTTTTATCTAAAAAAAAACCTTGTTATTAGGAGGAGATGGTAAGAGATGGTAGATGCAAAATCACACAAAAAATGTTTAACTAAAGATTTCCTGAGCTCCTGAAGTCTTTTGGCGTCAAAAATGTGCAGTCATACCCCAAAAATGCTGCTGTATTTTGTAGAATGACAACACATTGCGCACATTAGAACAGGCACAATATTAAAAGATGGAAATCTGATTGTCGTGTGATGAGGTGCTTCTGTAAACAGGATTTTTAATCTCTCAGGTGTAAACAAGGGCTTACACATGTAAAAATAAAATAGAATGCATTGATGATGACTAATGCTATAGACAAGAACAGAGACAGCAAATTATGAGTAAACTACATATTACTTATAACTTAGAGTCAGCTGTAAAAGGTATGATGTATAAGATATGATACCTTGATATTTAAAGAAATACTAAACGATAAACAAGTTAATTATTTTTCTCTGTAGCTTGCACAATATGTCAATTTTTAAAACCTAACATTTAACTAAGTTTTATAACATGACATAACATGATATTTAAATCCCATTGACAAAGCAGTCAGTAATGTTTGTATATGAAATGATTGTGTCCTGCACTATTTGTAAAATAACAGGAGCATGTCTATAATATTGGGGAATATTTCTGAGCTATTTGGTCATGTGGTGAACATGATACAGCTTGTAGCTTTCACTCATATACATTAAAGTGTGTGTGCTGTCAGCTTGGTAATAATTATTATACAGTCCACACTGTGTGAGACTATGACACGTGCCTCTCATATGAACAGGCTCTAACATGATTCTATGGCTTCTACTGTAACATCCCAATAAGAAGCAGTTTGGTTTTTCTAAAATATTTTCTCATCTTCTGACCACTAGATATAATAGACTGGCACACTAATGGCCTTATCCGTTCTAAACCTTAATGGCCTTATCCGTTCTAAACCTTAAGTGACCTTGTGCTTCCTTAATTCAGTGCAAAGCTGCAGGTTCCCTTTAATGCCTCCCTCCCCAGCCAAATATACTTACCTTTCCTTTACTCATTTCCACTCTGTTCAGCCACTGGGAGGAAGGAAAAGAATCCCAGAGTATGCTTCCAGTTGGTCCAGTCAGAACTTACAAAGAGCCAAGGACACCGTCCCTGCCTCTAGTCACATGGTCCTCCATCTATTTTTGGATGTTGCCACAAACTCTTACTAAGAATGAGGTCCAGGTATAGGTGGTTTTGGTACTACTATAGAAAAGTGGATCTATTAAGGTTTTTCCTCCATAAATAAAGCGGGGGAGTTTGCATAGCCTACCTAGGAGAGGATGTGTGTTATTCCCAGGATGAAATAAAGTTAAAAAAAAGCCTGAAAAAGGAAAACCAATGTAGCCACCTGATCTAAGGACTGGTAAGCTGCAATATATTATATTTTTGTTTTCAGGTTTAGATGCACTTTAAAGCAGACCTTCTATAAAAAAGGTTTACTTTGTGGCCCACCCCCTGCCACCCAAAGAAAATTAACTGGGATAAAAAACATCAAAAATTAACATTTCGCAAAAGTATAAAAATTACTCAACTTGGTTCCGGCTTCAGACTCTTCTGGGAGGTGCAGATGACATCACCACACCTCACCGCTGCCTCCTGGCATAGCTAGGCATTGAAGTCCCACAAGAATGCACTCCCTGGTAGGAGGGCATTCTTGTGGAATTTAAAGTGCCAAGAAGACAGCAGTGAGGTATGATGACCTTATCTACACCTCCCAGAAGCATTGGAAGCCAGAACTGTGTTGAGAATTTTTTTGGTAAAATCAGTATTTGTAATTTTTTTTGTAGCTTATTTTATTTGGGTGGCCATTTGTATGGAAGGTCCATTTTAAACACAAAAATTTACATGGGCTCTTAGGCTTGCAGAACTGTGCTGGTTACAGATTTTACAAGACTTATCATGTGCTTGCACTTCCGACCCAAGGCAAATAATGTACAGGGCTTTGAGTCATTTCACACACTCATGGTAAGTTTGGTACATTGTGGTTACTGTGATTCACCAGTATTACTAACACTAATGCTCAACTCCTGATGCCGTAGGCTTTATTGTGAATACCAGAGAAAGTCCTATGTTACTGACTCTAAGAAATTACATGCATCATCTTGAAATCTATTAAACCTCTGTAAACAGTGAAGAGTACTTTCCCGTGTAAAAAGGCTAAAATTAAGCATTAGTATGAACATGTATCCAGTCAAAAAGTGTTGTTTTGAAAACTTTCATTCATGCACGGAGCAAGTAACTTTTTTTTGTTTTTGGGTTTTTTTTTATACTTTATTTTTTTCTTCTTTGATGTTTATTTCTTTTTGAAAAACTTTACAAAGAAATGAAGAGGTATCATTACAGTTTTCAAAGGATAGCATACAGTATATGGAAAATATAAAATGTATAAAAGGCAATGTATAGTAAAACAGCATAGATTGATTGAATTTGCACATATATATTGCTTATGCAATAAAGCCTGACGTAGTTCAACAATAATTTGCATTGAGTCTTATTCGCAATGGGATAAATAAGATAAAAAATTTTGGGGTTTTGATGGCAATTTCAAACCTGGGGAATCATAGGGTAAACTATAAACTAAGCAAAGAGGACTATTTAATGAAGAGACTGAATAAAAGAAAGATTATGGTTCTGGCATCACTGTGCCTGTTCTGATACTACCAGATACTGTATGCGACGATGGCATAGAATGATAGCATTAATAGCAGAACAAGAACAAGAGAATTATAATGTATAATAAATAACTAGGCCACAACACTTCCTTCTTCAGAGCACTTACTAAGACCCCTAGTGGAAAAGCAGGATATCAGGGACTGTGGACCCAATATAAATACGCATGCCAAAATGATCTGGCCTTCTAAAACAGTACAAGTGCCAGTACAGATATAAATAATAGAAGACGCATCATCCTTTTCATTGTTTACTTTGATTTTATCTCAAAGTTCTAGTCTTCGTCATTGTGTGCTCACCTGTACTGCAATAAAATTGTTAGGACAGACTATTTAGCAGACTCTTTGATGTTCACTACTTTAATTATTATCAGCCCATTTGTGAAAGTGTGCCAGAAACATTCTCACTGCAAAAGAAAGTGACTTTGTATCATAACAAAACAAATTGCACAGTCTCTTCTGGAGGGAGATGCCATCCCTCTGCAGCCAACCAAATTGGGAATGTTTCCCCTTTTATAAAACAATTGAAACAAGGTTGCAGTCCTGGAGTTGAAACTAGTCATATGGATCATCTGCAAACAGTCAGGACACACATCTACAAATGAGCACACCCCTTCTACCTGCACAAATGATTTTAAGACCATAAAAATTCAGTCTGGTATATATGGTGGACAGTTGTCATTTAGTACAAGTATTTACAGAAACAAAGTCCCCATATGTTACATATACATATATACATTTGGCCCTGTGTTCACATACTTACATACATTCTTCTAGCTGCTCAAATTTATGTCACCCAAATGTACGTTTCAAGACTGGAAATTCTTACTCAACAGACCTGGTTTGTAAAAAAGGCCGTGTTAGCTAAGACCTATTGCAGCAGTGCTGATTGTCCCCTATTAAATGCAAAATGCAAAGTGAGTGAACAGAAAAGAAATCTAAATTCAATCAATATTTAGTGTGACTATCCTTTGGCTTCAAACCAGCATCAATTCTTAAGGTGCCCATACACCTGCCGATTATTGTACGATAATCGCGGGAAATCCCGCGATCGTATGATAATCGACAGGTGTATGGAAGGCGTGCGACCGTTTCTACTGTACAGTCGCACGTCTTTTGTCTACGAAGCAGGCTCGAAAACCCGCCGAGAATCGTACGATTGTTGGCGGGTTAGTGGTGTTCTTGGGAGACAAATGCCGCATGGGAAATGCGGCATTGGAGTCATCGGAAGCCCGCCCCTCAGCAGCGCGGGCATTCGATGATGGCAAGTACGATCTGCCTTTCCAAGATAGGCAGATCGTACAAGCTTTTGAATTAGCTGACAACCATCGCAAGACAAAAGTCTTGCGATGGTTATAAAGTGTATGGCTTGCTTTACACTTACACAAAGTCAGGGATTGCGTAGAATTAGAGTCAGGTGTATGATTAACCAATTATACCAAGCAGGTGCTAATGATCATCAATTTCATTTGTAGGTTAAAACACAGTCATTAACTGAAACAGAAGCAGCTGTTTAAGAGGCTTAAAACTGGGTGAGGAACAGCCAAACTCTGCTACTAAGGTGAGGTTGTGGAAGACAGTTTCATGTCACAGGTCATACGCCATTACAAGACTGAACACAGCAACAAGACACAAGGTAGTTATACTATATCAATAAGGTCTCTCCCAGACAAAGATTTCAAAGCAGACTGGGGTTTCAAGATGTGCTGTTCAAGCACTTTTTTTAGTAGCACAAAGTAATGGGCCAGGTTGAGGACCGTAGATGCAGTGGTCGGCCAAGGAAACTTAATGCAGCAGATAAGTTGGCCATAAGTGATCTTCATGGAAGAATTGCGGCCAAAAAGCCATACCTCCGACGTGGAAACAAGGCTAAGTGACTCAATTATGCACAAAAACTTAGGAACTGGGGTGCAGAAAAATGGGAGCAGGTGCTCTGGACTGATGAGTCAAAATTTGAAATATTTGGCTGTAGAAGGAGGCAGTTTGTTCACCGAAGGGCTGGAGAGCGGTACAATAATGAGTGTCTGCAGGCAACAGTGAAGCACGGTGGAGGTTCCTTGCAAGTCTGGGGCTGCATTTCTGCAAATGGAGTTAGAGATTTGGTCAGGATCAATGGTGTCCTCAATGCTGAGAAATAGAAGCAGATACTTATCCATCATGTCATACCATCAGGGAGGCAAGTGATTGGCCCCAAATTATTCTGCAGCAGGACAACTATCCCAAACATATCACAATGTCATTAAGAACCCTCTTCAGTGTAAAGAAGAACAAGGAGCCCTGGAAGTGATGGTTTGGCCCCACAGAGCCCATCACATTATTGAGTCTATCTGGCAATTACATGAAGAGGCAGAAGGATTTGAGACAGCCGACATCAACAGAAGATCTGTGGTTAGTTCTTCAAGATGTTTGTACATACCTACCGAGTTCCTTCAAAAACTGTGTGCAAGTGTACCTAGAAGAATTGATGCCGTTTTGAAGGCAAAGGGTGGTCACACCAAATTATTGATTTGGATTTCTCTTCTCTTCATCTTGTTAGTTGATAAAAATAAACTTTTAACACTTTTATTTCTGAAAGCAATTTTACTTTACAGCATTTTTTTCATACCTGCCATTATATATAGTTTATAAAAGGGCAGCCACGAAGATCTGTAGTTGTACAAACTATTCAGTTACAGTGGCCTAGAAGACACAACCCTGACTTCCAGTCATCAATGGACAATAATTAGAAGCCAAGGCCACAAACAAACCCTTGAACAAGGACAATGACAGATCCATTAGTAAGATGAATTTGCAACTGGTAAATTTGAATGTATATATAAACTCCTTGAGTTAACAGAAAGTTGACTTATATTTTTGTGTTATTGTTGCATAATCGCATCTCAAGTTGCCCTTACAAAGTATATGCCAACAAAAGAACGTAGATGTTAGATGAACCAAGGCTTCAGGAGAAATTATGCATTCGTCCAGCTTTGGGCTAATAATCCTTGAACACAGGTATAGAGATATAGCTTTGCCCTATAAAACCTGGAATGTTTGTCATAGTTTCTTGCAGTTACAAATCCATAATATTGTCATTAACCTGAAATAACTAAAATTTGGAGTTTTCTATTTACAGCTGCATAACTGGTGACTAATAGAAAGCATGTATTTTTTAAAATGCTACAGATAAAAATCTGCCTCCGTATCTCCTATGATTCTTTGAATATTTCAGATGTTGCCATAGTTGCACCTGCTCTCCTGGGGCATTCTCTCTCTGTTGTCTAGTAGAGACATGCAAGCCTAGAGAGTGACCTTCCTTCACTAACAAAATATACATTCCATAAATATACATTATCATATTGTATGTTTCATGCAGTCACAATATAACTTAGAACAATTGCATAATTATCATCTTCATACCAACACATACCATATCATTGTGGGCATTGGTGAAAGGGTACCATTCTGAATGTTTAGTAAAACTTCTTTTTACTCGTTATAGACTTAAATCTTATAAGTGTTTTTCAGTGCATTTGGATGAACTAAAAGATTTAATGCAGTTAGTGTATTCTGGGCCTGCCTTGGGCCTTGCAACTCCTCGCTAGAGGTGCTAGAACAGTTTCAGCTGGTACTTCCAATAGATCATCTACATAGACTGTCCAAACTAGGACATGGAGCTTCTTTCTATTTAAAGAAATAGTACACCAAGGCACCACTCCTGAACTGCCTACCCTAATACAGAAAGTAAGCCTGGACCATGCTTAAAAACATTATGCCTGCTCTTTTACTCACAATCTTGTTCATGAAGCCAGTATCTGTAACCCAGAACCAAAGATGATAACATAAACATTGGTGTGAAATCCAGTCACTGTCCACTTTTAAACTGAATGCATCTCCATAAAAGGGTACACTACCATATTTTGTAAATGGCTCTAGAGAACTTATCTTTTAAGTAGTTTTCCATATATTTGATGTACTCTAGTAATGCATACACCCTTACCAAGGTATACAGAATTGTAGTTTCATATTCTGCAGTGATTGGCTGTGTAGAAGTGTTGTCTAAATGTCTGAGCAAAGCTTGCAAAGAATAAGGGGTTTATTTCTCATTTTAGGATAATGGGCAGAGCCATGCAAATCATTCCGCTATTATCCTGTGGCCAAATGTACATTCAGAACCACTAGTTTATAGTATAGATACAGTCTAATATTTGGAGCCAATTCCAAATTGCATACAGCTGTTTTAGGCTAATTGACCACCCATTATCCTAAAATCAGGAATACACCCCTTATATGTTGGATCTGTAATGACCAACAAATAGCTTCTACTACGTTTCTCACTAATTAAGTAGGGGGCCTCACCATAAGATGTCTAGTTGTTCCACTGTGTCCATATTCTCCATAAAAGCCATTGTTTCTATATGCTGCACTGATAATGGTGAACTAGCCTGCAACATCTTTATGCAATTTTTAAATAAATGGCTCTATATTAATAGGCTGTATCTGTACTATAGACCACCAGTTCTGGATGTAAATTTGGCTGCAGGGGCATAAAGGAATGATTTGCATGGTTCTGTCCACAATCCTAAAATGAGGAATAAACTCCTTTTTATGGATGTGTGATGAAAGTGAGGCAAGCACATACTGTACCTTCTTTTTTAAGAAGGCTCTACTATGCCACTATGAAATTGGTGAAACCCAAGTCACTGAGTGTAGGAAACATTAAGCACCCTTGTATATAAACCCAATAATGCTAAGGTCTTTCTTACAAGAACTGTAGATGTCATTTTTTGTAATATGCACATTATGGTCACGTGATATTTACCTTTTCTAGAGTCTAGACAACCAAAATATACATTTAATCAGTGTGGGAAATCTGATAACCTTTATATGTGCAATATCAGATCTTTCTTTATCCCAGGGGCAGCTAGCATTACCTTCAGTTAACTACTTCCACAGAGTCTCTGATTTAACTATATAAAACCACTCCTTATATTTACAGTTTTTACTGTTTGTTCTTTCCTTAAACATGTTCACTTGCATGTATCTCTGTTGTTCTGTTGTTCATCAATGTTCTCTCTTCAAAGGCTTCAGGAAGAAAGAACAGTGTATGGCTGTGTGCCCTGGCTCTGCGGCATTATAAAAGTATGGAATAGCTGACAAGAATAATAGGAGCTGATGTTGCAATCTACACAAGTCACATCACTTCAGTACTTGCCTCTTGTCAATTTAAGACCAAACTCCACTGGAGCTGTAATTCATGTACAGGCTTCCAGTGGCGAAAGCCACGATGAAAGTCTGATAACCGTGCATGCTAGGTTCCCAGTTTATGTACGTATTCTACAGCATGGAGAAGACATCAGCATGAATTTTTTTAAAACATTTTTTTAAAGTGCTAATTACATTTCCAATCAGGAAGCAACTACACCACACAGGCACTGTGGCAGGCCCAAATAGCCTACAAAAATTGTCTACAGGTGCCTAGGACTCATAATGTATCAGTCCTAAAGCCACACACAAGATAAAAGAAAAGGAGGAGAAAGGGAGTAAAGGGAAAGGAAACTGGAAAATTAAGAAAAGGGAAGGGAAACTGGGGTGTGCAGCACCATGACTTAGTGATTAGTACTTCTGTCTTGTAGCACTGGGGTCCTCAGTTCATATCCCAGCCAAGATACTATATGAATGGAATTTCCATGTTCTCCCTGTGCTTGCATGGGTTTCCTCTGGGTACTATGTTTTTCTCCCATATTCCAAAGACATGCTTGTAGGTAAATAATTATATAAATGCTTATAATAAAAGATACGAGGAGGGGAGAGGAATAGAGCACATCAATAGATCCAATCATAAATATGGGATACAAGCTATTAAAACTTTAAACCATGAGGTATCCTAAGGTTCATAGTTATTATCGAAAATTCCTCTCTCCTATGTAAAATACCTCCCTCCTCCTAAATAAAGAAAAATTATCTCCACTAACAGATGTGCTAGTTCTTTCTAAAATCTGGACTTTTGATGTTTCAGTGTTTGAGTGATGTGTCTGAACAAAATTATTGGCTACATGAGTATTATTTTATTACGTATATCCTCAGGTGAATACCAAATCGGTTGCATAGCTGCCTATTGATATGGTCCACTGCACTCTATACTCTACGCAGGTCAAAAAATATACTACATTTCTAGTATTAAATACATCTATTGTATGATATTTTGTCTGTGTTACATGAGGCAACAGTATGGGAGTCCCCCCAAAAATGACAGCTTACATACCTGGTAGCCCCACATTTGAATATACTACTAGTTCTTAACTATGTTCTGGTCTTAATCTGTGCTCTAATTAGGCTTGGTGAATACATTCTAATAGTGGGTGCCTCTCTGGACACAAATTCTACCCCTCTCTCCATTGTGGAACGATATCCTGGATCATGCTTTAAAAGATATCTCCCAACTCTGGATTTAAATGAGTCTCTTTCCTATAATTAGTAGAAAAAATAATCCCATTTGGCCTTGAAGTTGATCTCTAATTTTCTTATACTTTTCACTTTCTCTTAACAACACCTCTCTATTTATTCCCCGTACATAACCCCGTTTATACAAATCTTTCCTTGCGTAACGCTACTTCTCTATCAAATATTTCAAGTTCCAAGCAATTTCCCCTAATTCAGATGAATTGTCCTCAGGGAATAGCTCTGATAACATGTTTAAGATGACAATTTGTAGCAAAGAGCAGGGAAT